CCCCAAAACCCCAAAACCCCAAAACCCCATAGCGGTGAGGAAGGTTGATAAAGTTTATATTATTAATTTAGAAAAATAATATGGGTGAGCTCATGAGGGAAGGGAATTTAGGGAATTTTGATGGAGAGAAGGGAATTATACAGGGAATTTAGGGATGATAGAAGATTTGGTTAGGGAGATAAAGCCAATTTGTTTTGTAGGTGTTTGAAGCTGTAATTGGTATGATGAGATTTTATGTCAATCGGATATTAGCTAGAGGAGTTCTGGAATTTTGTATAAGGCAGTTTAGAGATTAATTACATTTGTTTGTTCAGTTTTTACCTAAATAGCATTCTAAATGTATCGTTTAATTATTTTTCTTCTTATTTCCAATATGTGACCATTATTTTTTATTAATAGTTATCTGTAGCCTCCAAAATATTAAATATTTTATCATACCTACCTCATATACTAAAATATCAATCTGTAGCTTTAGATATTCTGATAGAGTCTCTAACAAAATTGACTCCCAAATATAAATTTCCAAATGAAGTTGCATAATTATTTTCTAAAATACCAGACGATTTATTTCAAAATTCAATTTATTAGAAATAACCTTCATGTCTTGGGTATCTCTATCCCCATTTATTTGTTCCTTTTCAGTTAGTCTACTGCTCTATTACTTTGGGTTTTAGTTTAGATATACCTAAAGTCTAGTTGAAACTCTAAAGCAGGCAGATCCTTACTTTTCAGGGTTTATTTCTCTATCGAACTGATGTAAAACTAGCTATAACTTCTCTCAAGATCCAATCCAATTTTGCTTAAAACTTTGACTTTTAACTGGAGTCAGTAGTACTTCTGTTAGAAACTCAACATTTATGCCAAAAATGTCAACAAAGCTTCATTCGCGAAATGTTCATAAGTGATTTAGCTGAGAATTCTTAAAGCACATTAAGGTTTAATCTCCAATTTTTAAAATTACTAATTTTAGATTTATATTCCGATATGATTATTCAGAATTTAAAAGGAAATTTACATAAAGAGATCTCAGAATTCGTCTGAATATTGATATAGGAAAAGTTATTCTGCTTGTGTTTATCATGCAATGACTGAGAATCATCAACTGTAATGTAATCGCTACATACAATTTGTATGGCTTGAGTTCTGCAACTAGTATAAGCAGTACAGAGGATCCAAGTGGTCAACCGACTTTAGAATTTCCAGGTAAACCTATTTTTATAATTGTAGTCGCTACTGCAGAGAAGCCAACATTTGAAACAGAAGGCTTAAAATTTGTTGAAGAACAGTAAGAAATCGACTAAAGACTTCCTTCTAACTTTCATAGGTACCTTACCTTTTCTGGTTACTTCGATAACCAAGGAGCAGACTACTTTACCGTGAACATCTGGATAAAGAGAAATAATTAAGAAGCTTTATGACTTTATGCGTGTGGGAAATAATTTTACAACGGCCGGGTAAGTTAGCCAATAAATAAGATTTAAAAATATCTTAAGCTGTAGTGCTTGATAAAAGCATCTGCTAAAGTAACACTAGAGGAGTTAGATCCTTCTCAAGGATTAGTTTGATGGGTAAAAATAAGGGCATGACTTAATAAGCAGAATTTATTTGATTATTTGTACCATTTACATATTCTGGTGAAGGGAATATTTGCCAAATTTTCTCAATTCTAATTTGGAGCTTAACATTAATGTTAACTTTTCTTCCTATAAACCCCTTATTTTTCAAACCAATCATAATTTTAGGTATGCACAAGGAGTCGGTGAAATATCAGGAATGACTGACAACGATGGGAGCCACGCCAACGTAATGGTTAATGGAGCTAAAGTCAGCGGAATCAGTGAGAATTTCTTAGGTAAATTCTCCTAGAAATTTTACCATGCATAAAATATCTTATCTAACCTTTTTTAGAGGACACATGGAGTCTAATAGGATTCGGATGGGGAAAAGTAAGGCATTAAATTAGTAAATTTTGGATGGCACTTTCCTTATCATCTAAGTTGGACTAGTCAAGGACTATAGATCAGAACAATAGGGTTATATTAATAGCAAATTTCTACAACTCTGATGATCATTTTAATAGGAGTGTCAACAAAGTAAACTTCTTTCAAACTTATTGCTGAAAATAGTTATTTTTGAAAATTTCATAAAAATTCATTTGTATATTTCTGAAAAATATAAATATGATGCTTCTATTATTTTTTTTGGAGTATATTAGTGAAATTATAGATATGAAGATTAAACATAGAAAGTTAGAAGAGTATTATTTTTCCCTTAATTTATTTTAATAAGAGTTTGAAATTTTGTATAACTTTTCCCTATTATATCCTTAAAAAAAATCAGAAAAAAATTAAGAAATTTAATCTTATTAAAATCATATTCTCTTCTGAAAGTTCTTTCAAATTAGAGCTAAAATATTAATCTGTTACTATATCAGATTCTTAACTCCAAGTCTTATTCTGACTTCTCTCTAGGACCAGGGCTACTTAAAAGTTTCCTGCTCGACTGGTGGGGCATGAGCTGGCCATAATAATAACATGACTCACACAGTGTCGTCTTGGAACACTCCTGGTACCTACTTCATTGGAGATTACTTAGAAAATTGTCAGAGTGGCTGTGAGTACATTGTCCATAGTATCAGAGTGTTCTCGTCTGAACTGCCTGGAGTTGCTGAAGACTTGTACGGAGCTGTCTACAATGGTAACAGTCAATCTTATTTTTAGAGTGGTATTCTCAGTGAGGCAGTGGCACAAGAGAAGGAGGTGAGAGCTGTGACGATGGCAACTATAACAATGGGGATGGCTGCAGTTCTTTATGATCGATTGAAACTAGATGGACGTGATCTGGAGGAGATGCTTCTAATCCAGACACTTGCTCTGATGACTGTGGAGATGGAGTTGTTGTAGCTCCAATATCAACATATTGAGATGATGGCAACACAGATTCGAATGATGGGTGAAGCTCAACATGTCAGCCAGAATCTGGATGGACTTGCACACTAGGAGACTCCTCAACAGCAAGTTCTTGCACTGACACTTGTGGAGATGGCAAAGTTATGGACCCCACAGCAAATTATTGAGATGATGGGAGCAAAGTAGATGGAGATGGATGTAGTTCAGCTTGAGCAGTTGAGGCTGGTTGGAGCTGAACTCTAGGTGATTCATCAACGGCTTCAGTATGTAGTGATGACTGTGGAGATGGAGTTGTTGTAGCCCCAATATCAACACACTGAGATGATGGCAACACAGATTCGAATGATGGGTGAAGCTCAACATGCCAACCAGAATCTGGATGGACTTGCACTTTAGGAGACTCTTCAACACCAAGTTCTTGCACCGACACTTGCGGAGATGGGAAAGTTATGAACCCAACTGTTGGATATTGAGATGATGGTAATACAGATGATGGAGATGGCTGATCAGCCACCTGAGCTGTTGAGTCAGGATATGTGTGTAGTGGAGGTAGCACAACTTCTAGATCAGTTTGTATAGCTAGCTCTACTAATGCAACTTGTTCTGTTGAGAACTGCTCTAAATGAGTTTCAAATCAACTTACTAAATGAGAAACCTGTAATGAGGGTTATGAGGTTAAAGAAGATAAATGTAGTGAAGTAAAGAAAGAAGATGAAACTATTTCTGCTACTTCAGCTATTTCTACATCTCAAGCAACTATAGCAGGAATAATGGCAGCTGTCACGATCAACTCACTTGTCAACATGTCTCCTCTCACAGTTATGTGGGCAATGGCAAATCAAGTTCAGCTTTTGTTACTACTCTTACTTACCAAAAGCAGTATGCCTGATAAAATAGTGGAGTTTCTCACTTCCAATGAGTTTATGTCTTTCTCATTCGGATTTTTAAACTTCTTCACAGGAATTCCTGGACTCAGCACTATAAAAGAAAGTTTCTACAAAGATCAAGACTTTGCTAATCTTTCAACTCTCGGACTTGAGTCGGGAAGCACATTCTACAATGTATTCAACACTATGTTTATGCTGATGTTACTGATTCCTGCCCATATAGGAACTTTGCTGCTGCCAAAGTGCAAACAGGCTGCATATTCAGAGTCCAAAGCTAAAGCCAAGTGTGGAAAGGCTTACACTTCTCTGAAAGATTTTCTGTATGAACTGTTCCACTTCACAATTTATCTGAGAATATTGCTAGAAGCATACCAGTTCATGATGCTGTCTTCGGTCTCTGAGATTTACCGGATGCAATACAATGAACCAGCTTCTTTCTCTGCTTGATGCATTGTGCTTGTGATTTGATTTCTGATTCTCTGCTTGACTTTCTACATGTATTGGAGCACCAAGAAGTTCTATGACGATGAGCAACACTATCACTGCAAAGAGTTAGTCAGAGGCCTCAAGAACACAAAGAATGCAAGGAAATACTCGTTTTATTTGTTGCTGAGACGCTTTGTTCTGATATCTTGGCTCATCGGTATGAAATCGTTCAGTAAATATTACCTGATTCTGTTCCTTTGTTCCTTCCAACTGTTCTACCTGGCAAGAATGGTCTACTTCAGGCCTTACAAAGAGACAGTTGACAACTGAGTCGAAATCACGAATGAAGTATTCTTAACAGTTCTGTGTTGAGCTCTTGTGCATCTGAATACGACAGATGCATGGAAGGGAGCAAGCACTGACATATACATGTGGGTCTTACTATCAAATACTTTTGCTGTAGGAATAATAATGCTTGGTAAGAACTAATTTTATTAATCGTAGTTGATTTATTCAAAGGAGTTGTTATCAAGTTAAGAAAGAAGTGCACTAAAAAAGATGTAATTAAGCCTAAACCTAAACCAAAAGTACAAGATAATTGCAATGTAATCCTTTCTTATAATTATAGAATTCTCCTGTAATTGACGAACCAAGAAAACACACAAAACAGAGTAATGCAAAGTCCGACACCATGTCACTTTCCAGATTCTCTGCTAACCAAATGCTATCAACACCCTCCAAAGACATGAGTAACCCCTATAAATAACCTCTAGACCAAATCAAAGCGCCTCACCACGAAATCACAATTAAAAAACTTGAAATAATAAAAGAAATCCCTACAAAAAGGGCCAACCTGATATAATAACTTATTCTTAATTCTTTATATCTATTCCTGCTTCTCCCACTTTTCCTTGGCAAGTGCCCTCATGTTCGTTTAGGTCTGCCTTTAAATGTGGATTATGGAAAAGGTGGGATTTTTATGAAGGAATTTGTACGGGGGTGGAATCAATGAGTGGGGGTTTACTTGGGGTTTTGGGGTTTTGGGGTTTTGGGG